GGAGTTTGTCTAAGTGATCACCGTTACTTTCTTATGGTCTAGCATCAAGTCTGCTCAACAAATGCTTTTCTTATGTAATAATGAATAATTTTTAAAGTTTTACAAGCCATCTAATTGGTCATATTCTTTGTCCTCCCCCAGATCCCCCAGATAACCTGCTCTCTGCCTTCCCTATTTCATATCCTTTCTCTCTTAAAATAAAAAAGCATCCCCACAAGACAAAACACAAAGTCTGTTCTGTGTTGGCCATCAGAGCGTGGTTGATATACCCAGTGTCACACCATTGAAGAAAAGTGATTTTCTTCCCTCTCCCAGCATCTATTAAAAGCAAATAGCTTCTTAATTGGCGGTGGAACTCTGTGCCCAATTCCCCTTCTCCGTGTCGGCCCCTGGTCTGGCTTGAATTTGTACAGGTCTTGAGTGTACTGTCTCAGTCCATGACGGTTCATACATCCATGAGCCCTGTTGTCTGGGAAACTGCTTCCTCTGACTCATCTCTTACATTCTCTTCAACTCCTCTTTCACACAGATCCTTGAGCCTTGGGGTGTGAGGGGGTAAGTGATACAGACATCCCATTTAGACCCGAGTGCTCCAAAGTCTCTCACTGTCTGCACATTGTCCAGCTGTGGATCTCTATGTTAATTCCCATTTATCCGCAAGAAGCAGCCTCTCTGATAGCAGTTCAGTGGCGCACCGATCTGTGGGTATCGCAGGAGTGTGATGGGAGTCCTTTGATTGCTGGGCTCGTTCAGCAGTGCAGGCCCTTGTTCTAGTTAGCCTTAGGTTCTTGGCCTTATTAACAATGTCCGGTATGGATCCCACCTCAGAGAGTGACCCTTAAATGTAAGCAAAAGGTAGCTAGCTACTCTAACATTGTGCCTCTATTGCTCCAGTGTGTGTAACTTGCAGACATATCCAAATGGTAGCATGCATTATTTGCAGCTGGGTAAGACTGTTAATTACTTTTCTCCTCCTGTAGCATGCTGAGTATCTTCCGTACTATGAACACTACTCAGTGTCAGTGAGGCTTCTGGGTGAGCAACCGCTCAATTTCTCCAGGTTCAGTGACATAAGTATGTTGTGTCATCACAATAGGTCCTTACCATCAAGTTGTGGAAGGTGACCCTACAGCATCAGCAATAGCTTATAATGTTTGGAGGTGGGTCATGGGAACCATCTGGCTAGGACTCAAAAATATGAACCCATTCCTGGCACTGGGGTTTTATTTGGTAGAACCTGATATCTAGTTAGGACACTGTCGACCCTATTACAGGGCAACTCCATTTAGATTTATATATTTTCATATCATATGACTTCTCAAAAGGAGTTGATTGTTAGTTACCCTTGCCCATAATGTCCCCTCTATCCTGTCCTCCATGCCTTTCCCCATTTAGTCTCCCTATTCAAGTTTTACCTATATCCTTTTAAAACATTATATTCTATTTCTTCTTTCTTGAATGACTCCCCTCCTCCTCTGTGGTCCCTTAACTAGCTACCTAACCTCTGTGGATATTGTGAACAAAACACACATATCTAAATATATAAGCTAACATCCCATGTAAGAGAAGACATTCAATGTTTGTCTTTCTGGGTCTTGTTTACCTCACTCAGGATGAGTGTTTCTAACTCCACCCATTTACCTGAAATTTTCCATCATTTCATTTTCCTTAACAGCTGAATAATATTCCATTGTATAAATATACACATTTTCACTATCCATTCATCAGTTGATGGGTAATTATGCTGTATTCAATTTCTGGCTACTATTGGATAGAGCAACAATAAACATGGATGAAAAGAGTATCTCTGTAGCAAGATCTAGAGTCCTTTGTGTGTATCTCCAAGAGTGGTGTAGCTGGATCCTGCAGTAATTCTATTTTTGACTTCCCAAGGAACCACCACACCTATTTCCACTGTGACTGTACAAGTTTGTACTCCCACCAGCAATGAATGAGTGCTTCTCTGTAAAGAGAAGCCTTCCCGCCAGCCTAGTTCCAGAGCCGCATCAGTCCCAAATAAACACAGAGGAAGCTATATTAATTATGAAGCTGTTGGCCTTGCTTTTTCTTACTGGCTAGCTCTGACTTAAGTATTTACCCCATAATTGTTAATCTAAGTACTCTTACCGGAGAGGTTTCTGGGCTTCCTACCCCATGACAGTTACATCTCGACTTCCTGTGTTTCTCCTACCCAGAGTCCTCCTGGACTCCTAGTCCCACCTATCTTGCTTCCCTATTAGCCAACAGTGCTTTATTGACATATACACAGGACTTCCCCCATCACTTCTCTTTCCACACATCCTCACTAGCGTGTGCTGTCATTTAATTTATTGATCTTAGTCATTCTTCTTGAAATAAGATGAAATCTCCAAGTAGTTTTAATTTGCATTTCACTTTATGACTGAGGATGCTGAACATTTCTTTAAGTGTTTCTCAGACATTTGAGTTTCCTCCTGAGGATTCTCTCTTTAGTTCTGTAGCTTGTTTTTAATTGGATTATTTGTTTTCTTGATATTCAATTTTTTTAGTTCCTTGTATATTCTAAATGAGTCAGTTGCAAAATTGGTAAATATTTTCCCAAAAGAAGAATCTCAAATGGCCAAAAGACATTTAAGGAATGCCCAACATCCTTAGTCATCAGAGAAAAAGGCAAATCAAAATGACTCTGAAATACCATTTTACACCTGGCAGAATGGCTAAGATCAAAAGCACTGATGACAGCATATGCTGGAGAGGATGTGGGGTCAGGGGAACATTCCTCCGCTGCTGGTGGGAGTGCAAACTTGTACAGCCACTTTGGAAATCAGTATGGAGGTTTTTCCAGAAAATAGGGAATCAAAATACCTCAAGACCCAACATTACCACTCTTAGGCATACACCCAAAGGATTCTCAGTCATACCACAGGGACACCTGCTCAACTATGTTCACAGCAGCTTTATCTGTAATAGCCAGAACCTGGAAGCAACTTAGATGCCCCTCAACCAAAGAATGGATAAAGAAAATGCAGTACATTTACACAATGGAGTATTACTTAGCTGTTAAAAACAATGACATCCATGAAATTCGCAGGCAAATGAATAGAACTAGAAAGAAACCCTGAGTGAGGTAACCAGATCCAGAAAGATAAACATGGTATGTACTCACTTATAAGTGGCTATTAGTTGTAAAGATTAACCATGCTGTAGTCCCCTGACCCAGAGAGGCTAGGTAACAAGGAGGTCTCAAGGAAAAATACCCAGATGCCCCTGAGAAGGGGAAATAGAAGAGATTCCGTGGGTGGACTGGGGGCTGGTGGGGATGGAAATGTAAGAGATTGGGTTTGGCAGGAGTAGGAAGGAGAAGCATACTGAAAGAGACAACTGTAAATCGGTGGCTTTTGGGGTAAGGTAGCAACCTGCTGCAAGAGAAACTCCCAGCAGTCTACAAGACTAACCCCCCCCCCCCCCAAGACTCCTAGCAATAGAGGATACATAGCCCGAACTAGCCATCTCTTGTGACCAATCCAGTGGAGGGATTGGGACACCAACCCAGCCACATAGCCTTCAACCTACTGCCTAGGAGATGTGTTGGGGTCAGGGTAGTGTAGAGATTGTGGGCGTGGCCAATCAATGACTGCTACTGTAGCAAATTTTTGTTGCATTTGTTTTGGTTTTGGTTTTTTTTGAAACAGAATTTCTCTGTGTAACAGCACTGGCTGTCCTGGAACTTGCCCTGTAGACTAGACTGGCCTCACACTCACTGAGATCCGCCTGCCTCTGCCTCCTGGGTGCTGGGATTAACGGCGTGCACCACCACACCTGGTTTTACTGCCGTGTTTTAGTTTTGGCTCTCAGTGGCTAGCGTTCCCTTGAGAGCACTCAGCTTAGTGTTCAAACCCCAAGTACCCACAACACCACATAAAAATTGTGCATGATCAACAGAGGAGATCTCCATTTGTCTGCATCTCCGCTGCTGACGTCTTTGCGGAAGAATATTTACTTCATCATATCTTCTACAATATTTCAACATCTTGATAAATTCACACCAGGAACCTGTGCCACAGATTCTCCTTGGCTTTTCTATATTTTCACAATTTGTCTTATATTTAATATGTGAGATGAAGGACATAACTCAGAAGAAAGAAAATAAAAAAGAAAGGTAACAAGACAATTGTGTAAAAACCTCAGAATGAAATCATCTGGAGAGGACACAAATGAATGGGGAGAAGCTGACCATGTGAATTCAAGTCCTCTTAGCAGGTCTACATAAAATGTCTCTGGTGAAAAATAAAACAAAATATGCAGTTGGTATAAAATCTTAGCATAAGTTCCCAAAAACTTGATTTTATGGAGTTTTCTGAGAGTCCACATTTATTACTCCTTTCCTTAAGCCTTCTGAACAGCAAAAATCTATCACATGATGGAACAGCGCATTGAGGAACAAGTTCTAAAAGGTACCAAAAATGTAATGATTTCCTATGCTTTAAGTAGGAAAAACAAAAAGCAATGACAAAGTTTAGAAAAAATAAAATTAAAATATTCACTGTGAACAAGCATGTAAGCTAAAGCGATCATCGACAGAAACTAGAGCTGTCCTTTAGGACGGTAACGACAAGCTACAAGGGCAGTCTCTGCTACACATAGATTTTTTCTTATATTAGTCATGTTATGCTATAATCAGTCCAGTGCATTCTAGTGGAAGATCTCCAAGTCAATATGGAGCAAATTGCTACAAACCATACAAATATCACAGACTTCTGGATACTATTAAACTGTGAGAGAGACTAAGCTACAGGAGGGTCACCCAAGGGCAGGAGAGATCAGGTCTGTAATCACTTTGATTTTGTTACCTAAGTAGGAGACTTGGCACATCACCTTCAGAAGGCCACAGTAGTTATATAGAAACAAACTTGGGGAGGCGGGGGAATACTAGAGCAAAGGGCAAGAATAGTGGAAAAGGCAGTTAAAACTTCACACAACTCCTTATGTTTGAAATAAGAGCCCATAGCCACCTCATTTACCTTTTGTTTAGGAAAGAAATCTCGAGAAACAGCTTCCAAACTGGAGCCCACGTTCAGACGAGGAAGCCCAGACATCAGCCTTCGCAGGCCAGTTCTGATGCTGGATCTTTGCAGAGGAAAGAGCTACACGTCAAGGAGTTGCCTTTATTCTCCGTGATTAATGGCATGCCACCCTCTGATTTTTTTTTCTGATTCTCATTAAAACACGTAAGTCTACATCTAAAATCACCGGTACCCTCTCAAGTCCTCCTTTGATTTGGAATCTGAGGCAGCTGCATCTCCTCGTTAACTCTGAAAAGCAGTGTTTTCTAGACTACAGGCCCAAACTATAGGTCTTTGCCACACATGCTCCCCATAGGTTTTCTATTGTAATTCAGTTCTGCCAAATTTAGAACAGTAGTCTTAAAGCCAAATGCTCTGCTAAACTACCAGACTCACAAGACATGTTCTTTTTTTTTTCCTTTTTTTTAAAAATTTAAGTTAGAAACAAGCTTGTTTCACATGTCAATCCCAGTTCCCTCTCCCTCCCCTCCTCCTCTACCTTCCCCACCAGGCCTTCCAGTCCCCCACCCAATCTCCACTCCAATTCCCAGGGAGGGTGAGGCCCTCCATGGTGGATCTCCAGAGTCTGTCATTTCATCCAGGGCAGGGCCTAGGCCCTCCCACTAGAGTCCAGGCTGAGAGAACATTGTGGGCCTTGGTAGTATTTAACCCTGGAGTACAAATAGACTTTGAGTGCCCATACAACACATGTTCTTATACTACAGCTGTCTTGGCCACTCTTCTATTGCTGTGAAAAGACACCATGACAAGGAAACTCTTATGAACGAAAGCATTTGACTGAGGCTTGCTTACAGTTTCAGAGGTTTAGTCCATTATCATTATGGCAGGGGCGTGGCAACCTGGCAGGTGTGGTGCTGGAGGAGTAGCAATCCACAAATAGAAAGAAAGAGAGAGAGAAGGGGTCAGAGAGAGAGAGAGAGAGAGAGTGAGAGAGAGAGAGAGAGAATGGGTGTGTCATGGGCTTTTGAAACCTCAAAACCCACTCTACTGTCAAACTCCTGAGTAGACCACACCTACTCCAACAAGACCTACTCCCTAATCCTTCTAATCCTTTCAAACAATTCTACTCCCTGGTGACTAAGCATTCAAAGACATGAGCCTATGGGGGACTATCCTTATTCAAACCACCACAGCAGCCATTTTCAGTTTGGTGGAGCTGAACTTCCAAAATAAACACTAAAAATGGAGCCTATCGATGTTCCTCAAGTTATGTAACCAAGCTGCCAAATGGTTTGTATGCTAACAGTTACAGTTCTGGGGAGATGTGTTTCTCTGAGCTTATAATAAGTAGAATGACAAAATGAGGACTCTAAAAAAAAGTCCCTTAAGGTTGTATGCAATACTGCCTAATGTATACGTTCAGGTTAGAATAAGTAAGCAGAGGCCAAACAAAACAGTAGGGACTGAAGTTTAACTTTTACCTGTCCCATGTGAGGGGAGGCCCATCTCTTTGTGACACTCTGAATCTTGGAGGTCAGCATATTTGATATGTTATTAATTTTTAACATTAGAAAGTTTCTGTTTGGTTTAAAATTATCACTACATCAATGAAACTAGAAAGTACTCTTTGACACTTTTCGCTTAGTATTAATAGTGTTAATAGTCTAAAGGGCTAAGGAAACAAACTAATTAGTCCATGTCAAAGCATTAATTCTCTCTCAGTCGCGGTTAATAATATCATTATCAACTCGGGAAAGAAAAGTAAATGCTTTCATTTTCATTTTTTATGTGCAAATTAGACCGAAAGATTGAACTATTTGTGCATGATAAAAGTGGTTTGCAAACTGGAGTCTTCTAGTAGAGACAGCAGTACTGGTTTTGACTATGACTTCCAAAAAATATTTTAGCTTGTAACCAGCCTAGTAGCAGACCTCCAGTAAAGTCCCATTGACCACCTCCAAAATCCTAAATTAAATAGGATTGCTTTGAAAGACTCCAAGTATTCCACTTTGCTCTCAGTTTTGGAAACATTTTAAGACAGAACTATCCACCTATGCCATCCTCACCTCTGCCAAGCTGACTCTAAGTTAACGCACCTTGGTTGTTTTAAATTAGGGCTTTGCTAATGTGTTCTACCAATAGAAAACTGCTACATCTAGTGTGAATAGAGTAGACATGTCCATGAGGTTTAAGTGTGTTGAGTGGGTGCATATTCTAATCCTAGCAGGTGAGTCAAGAAGTTATATATATGAATGTTCTACTTTAGCTAGAAGACTGGCTGATTTGAACTCAAGTCAGATGCCCCACTTACCCAATTTCCCTAAGTCATTCCCTATTTCAGAGTACAACATGGCAAAATGTGAAGGTCACTGTTTCAAAATGTGTTGAGTTTCATTTAGAGAAACTGCTGCGATGCACTGGAATCGGTTTCTCTGCCTTACTTCCCTCTGCTCCAGCTCTTCGACCCTGTGGGAGAGTAGAGCAATGGTAATTGGCTCCTCTACACAACCATGGACACACTTGTCCCCTTCTTTGTTTCAGCTGTTCTTAAAAGATTCCCTTTATGTTCTTGGACCTCATGTTTTAGATTGTGTTGGTTTGCAAAGATACACTAAAGTGCACAATCTTGGATTGCAAAATATTAATATGCTTATGATCTCTGACAAAGATCCAGACCTGAAGCCTTCAATGTAGTTTCTCCACGTTGGCAAGTCAGTGATTCTGCCAATTAACATTTATTGCAGCAGTCAACACTTTTGACCTTATCTCTCTCATATGCAATAGTTTCACAATTGCTACTAACTTTTTTTTTAAATCAAGCACTAAATCTTGTTATGCTAATCATATGACCTTGTGGCGGGAAAGTAGCTAGTGGCAATGTCAACTCTTAAGCAATGAAAAGGCTTTATTGTTAGAGAGAAAAGACCATGTGAATGTAAACACATGCCCCTAGGACCAAGGGTTTGGATGGACCTTTGGTTCAGGGTGTGGTCGAGATCAGGACAACTCTCAAAAAGTTCACATCACAAAAGTGTGGTCCCCAGCAGATTATGGGTAAACTATTAAGAGGAGTATACAAACAGAAGTGTTCTAGTGGTTAAATAGAGGTCCTTCAGGGAGACATGGGGGCCCAAACCCTTCCTGTTCCTTTCCTGTGCTGATTGTGAGGGGAGGACTTTCTCTAACACACATTCCCACCGTGATGTGTTGCTGATCTACCACACAATCAAAAGTATCTCGGACTAAACCTCCCAAAATGAGGGTCCAAATAAACTGTCTTTGTTTTAAACTCAGTATCTTGGCTTTGGTTACTGTAATCAAAGCTAACAAGTATCTCCACTAAGAGCATTATAATTATTAGAAAATCTTTACCATCTCATTTGTTATACAGTAGACAATGTGTAACAAATACATTATTATATGATATTTATTATATTACTGTGAAATTTACATTAACATCATGCTATAATATAGAGTAATGTAGAGGCTTTTGCATAGGATACACATTTACAATGAGGCTTAGCATTTAGATACTATATTTAAAATCAGGTTAGCAATGTATTTCATATGTAACAGTGCCTCAAAATACTAGCCATGCTAAAATGTTCTAATGTTCCTCATCACATACTAGAAATAGGTAATGACTATTTAACCTTATTAATGACCAGATATTGAGAATTACATATTATATATACAATTATATATTATAGAATATATATATATTCTTCAGCTCTCACTTCAAGGATTGATGATTCCCATTTTCAATTCAAGTAACTTGGAGAAAAAAAAAACAGAGTTATTAAGTTCCAGTGAATCCAAGTTCAGCCTAATTGATAAATTGGCATTTTAGGCAGAGGACCAGTCACTAATGGGTAACTCTTCACTTGGGAGCCAGTAGGAACTTGCCTTGGGCTGCTTACCAAGGCAAAGGACACTTGCTCTGGTTTCTGCTAGAATGTCTCCCTCTACTGGACTAGAACCTCTCGAACTTCTAAATTGTGAAAACGCTTTATTCTGAGCTAATGAAACAGCTTTCTTCCTATTGTTCTTCATTATCCTCTCGCAAAGTCATTTCCCAAAGAAAAAATACGTTCTAAAAATAATTATAAAAAGAAGTCTCATTGGCAAATACAGAACCTAACTACATAAAATAAAATTCCATGAGATAATATATTCCAAACACAGACTGCTTTTTGGGTCCTTGCCATAGTGAGCACAAGTTACTTGCCTTTTTTGTCCATTTTTTCTTTTATTTTTGAGATTATGATATAACTGAATAATTTCCCTCTTCCCTTCTCTCCCTGAAAAATAAAAGGATGAGTGAATTATCTGTGGCCATTTTGCAAGATTGCAAACCACGCTGATGATGCCATCTCTCTAAGTCAGAACAACACACCAGCGCCATATTCACACAGCGTCCGTTCTTACGGTCTCATGGAGACAGTTTTCCCAAAGGCAAGTTTCAGACTCCGCTCTACACTCTCCTGACACTGTGACTAATCACGTCTATCTTTCTTTTTTTTTTTTTTCCTTGTGCCATTTAATTGGGAATCCTCACAATTAAGTGTTAATTTTTAAGGCTAAACTGAAATGAGCAGAGGAACCTAAAGCAAACCGATGTTGGAGCGCCCTCTGGTGTTGGATGGAGGTTCAGTTACTCTCCAAAAATGGAGGCCAAGCAATTGATAGTCAGAAACTTCTGTGTCTTACAGCTTCCCATTGAGAGTGTATCACACATACAGTTGCTTAACATTCTTAAACATTACATACGAGGACTTCTGTCCCAAAGATGTTTACCAAAAGAATGAGCTAAACAACTGAATCTATTTGTTATCTCCAGCTCTTAATGTTTTTAAATGTTCTTAGTTGGTGGTATTGCCGCAAAGAGAATGTCTGTGGGTATTTGACACTGGTGATTTACTTGCATGAGGATTTTAGATCTGGGGAGAATTCAATTTTTTCAGAGCATAGTTTCCTCTGTAAAACATTTGATAAATTTCATGTAACCCAGAGTCTTAGTCTTTGCTATTTGGTTGAGTCTTCCAAGAAAGTTAAACAATGACAGAAACTTGGAAATAAACCTACATTGAAATCCATGAAACACATGTTTATTAACTTGGGGCATTTTAATTACTTCCATTTAGACAAAGGGAAGGAGCGCTCCTATTTTGAAAATGATGCTACAA